TCAGACCTGTCGTCTCTCCCTAACGAGCCCCTTTGCCACCTAAACCATTTCCCAGTGGCAAAGGGAACATTTGCCAAGGGGCTCAGAGGGATATATTAGAATGGGCCCAGTGGTAGGTGCGAGGAAAGCAGCAATGAAATTCCACAAGAGAAAAGCCAAATTGACCATCCCAGGGCAACCTACTTCCCACCTTTCTCTCACCTGCCCCGGCCTCTCCAAGGGTTTGCACAGGAAATGCCCCAGGGCTCCCAAGGACTCAGCACTGATGCCCTCACAGATGTGACATCGCCTTCTCCATCCTTTTACTTCACTTGTAGCTCAGTGGTTTGCATGTAGGCTAGGGCATGGAGAATGGGTTGCTCAGGAGACCGAGGCAGGATCTCTTGCGCTCTAAGTCACTGGTTTTAACCTGGCCCGAGGCTGGATAACTCCAGGTGTGGGAGAACGGGATCCATAGTGTCTCACCGCCATCGTTATTTGTGTTCTGCTGTTGCCCAGGAACCCCAGACGCAGAGCAGGCCCCCACTGCGCTAGGTGCTGTACAAACACAGAACAAAAAGACACCCCAGAGATTTTACAATCCACCAAACTCGATTGAGGGTGAGGGGCTGGTGCGGGGAGGGAGGGGATGTGGAGCCTTTCACCTCCGGGGGCCTCAGTTCCACATCGGAGGGATGAGCTCTGGGGCACTTGAAACAACTCCAGTCAAAGTGCCGGCTGATGAGGCTGGAATGGTCCCGGGGGGGGGGGGGGGCGTTGGCATGAACTGCACCTTTTCCCCAGCTCTGGAGAGAGGGTTAGTTCAGCCACTGGGCCTTTTTAACCAGCCCATTGACATTGGAGTGACGGACAGGCCTTCCCCAGCATCCATCTGACTCTCATGGAATGTAGATGGGAGAACAAGTCCCCCCAAAGGGGAGCCTGGCACAGGATTCACTCCAGGGGCTGAGACCACGTAGGCTCCAGGGAGCCAGGTCCTCCAATCCTCTCCTATTCTCAGCCCAGCTCCTCCTGACAGCTCAGAGGGGAGGAGCCCTTGGTCTTGCCTGGCAGATAAATACCCCTCCCTGCTGGGCAGCTCCAGTTTTCCCCACCATCTCCACTTGCTGAGCTCCAGGCTGAGCCACCTGACCCCTGTGCTGGTCCCCCTGACTCCCGTGTCCTCTCCTGGGGGCTGAGATCCAACGGAGACTCCCATCTGTGCAGGCTGGATCGCTCAGGAGAAGCCACCCATCTAGGTAAGGCAGGTACCTTCAGAGTTCTGCTGTGCAGATTTATCCCCTCTGGCTTGAAGGACACTGTTCCCTCATTGCCCCCCTTCCCTCCTCAGGAGGTGGTGAATGCTGGGAAGGCCATGCATGGGGTGGGCAGAGGGTATTGGTGGAAGGCTGTGGGGCTGTTAATTGTTCCTCTTTGTGCCTCAGTTTTCCCATCTTACAGAGAGGGATAATGATACTGGCCTACTTTGTGGAGCACTTTGAGCTCTCCTGATGAAAAGGGCTACAAAAGACCCAGGGATTGTTATTATCGGGGATCCTGCTGCCAATTTAGCTATTTTAAAATGTGACTCTGGATGGAGTTCCACAGGGCCGCCCGCAGATCCGTCTGCGTGCTCAATGTACGACAAACCATGCCACACAACATTGAAAGCTGCCTAGGTAGGCACAGGAACTCGCCTATAAACAAATGGGCCTTTTATCTGCCACTGTGTTTGCAATCCAGTTACACCTCACCAGCGCGGCTGTCAATGGTTAGACGTCAGGGGATGCGCTATATGCCATTCCCTCCCCTCTCCCCCCCCAGTTGCCAACTTAGTGATTTTTGTCAGGAGATTTAGAGACTTTTTGGTTTCCCTAGCGAGGAAATAAGCGTCCAAGCGACCGGTGACAAATCTAGTGACTTTCACTGCCAATTACAGTGGTATTCAGAGAAAGACGTCGCCAATTTGTATAGTCACAAAATCATTCACAAGCAGCTCAATAGTGTTAATAAAATCCATTCCACGCTCTTCTTACTGCACTCTTGTGCATACCAAGTCAATGTCATCCCAGCTCACTTGGGCATGGCCCCCGAAGGAAGTGCATTCCAGGGTTTCTTGGGCTTAGAGGCTGTGAATGAGAGGCTGGGTTTGACGAGAGCTCCGGGTGGCAGAATAAATGCTTAGCACATAACTGGGGCTCAGCTTTGATTCCTTGGTGGCGGGGAGGGGGTGAAAAGCCAGATCTAATGGGGAGGGGAGGCTGGCAGAGGGAAGGCTCCAACACTAAGGGGAAAGGTCATGATCTTCTGCTTAATACAACTATTAGTGACCAGGGCAGGCACCACTCCCTGGGCGAGGCAGATGCAGGAAAAAACGTTGGTCCACAGATCTTTGAGCCTTTGCCCACGGAAATGTTACCTGATCAAAATCCCTCTCCCAGGAGTGAGACGCTGGCTTGTCTAGCTGAGCAATTCCTTGGGCCTCTGCTGAACCGGCCCTTGGTACTAGCTCCTGCACGTCCCCCTGCCCGGGCGAGAGGACATTCCCAGCTGCTGGACAGAAAGCAGCAGCCATGCTGGGTGCTTCCTCTCTGGCTGGATAGTCCTGGCAGCTGAGTTTATTTTGTTATCATTGACCGGCTCTGTTGGTGTCTCTCAGCTGGTAGGGGGCTGGCAGGGGGTTTCTGGCTGTCTTGGCTACACGGGGCAGGGCTGGGGTCCCCCTATTTCTTAACCTGGCATTTGGCTGCCCCTCCAGTCCTCCCTTCGGAGCTCTGCTGTCTGGGGGCGCAGCCCAGATTCCCTTAGCCCCTGCGGGGTCGAGCTGGCCTGGGCAGAGCAAACCTGCCTCTCTCCAGCCGTAGAACAGGTGACTCTTTGTGCCGATCAAATCCCACCAGAGGGTCACTCCTCCCCTAGATCCTAGGGCTCAGATCCCAGCCAACGAAACCCCCGAACCGTACCTGGGATCACTAGAGGCTTTGCTGCAATTGTTGACTCTGAATTCTCTGAACTTCCTTTCAATTCTCTCCGTCAGCCCGTGTGTGCATTTTGGGGTTTAGTTGTTTGGGGAGGAAGGTGGTTGGGGGGGCGGGGAATGGAACAGGGATCTGCACATTTCTAGACCACGCCAACGACAGCTAGCCTGGTAGCAAACATTCAGAGGAGTGAGATGCAAAGGGACTTTGCTTCTCCGTGAGATTCATTCAGGGGGAAACCGGAGAAAGAGAATAGCCCTTTACATAAAGGAGAGGGGGGATTAAAATGTAAAAAATGAAGAATGTTAAAAATAGGGGGAAGAAAGACAAGGAAAGACAATCCACAGAAAAAAGAAGGAGAGGAAGAGAGCAAAAGGCTGGGCAGTTTGGTGCCGTGGAAATGGTGACCCTGTAAAGCGGGCGTTTGATGCCTTGCACTGGTTCCCCCAACCTTCTTTTATCTTGCCTGAAATCGTCTTGTGTAACCAGGACAGCCAGAAACCCCCTGCCAGCCCCCTCCCAGCTGAGAGACACCAACAGAGCCGGTCAATGATAGCTTCATAATCTCAGCTGCCAGGACTATCCAGGTGGAGAGGGAGCACCCAGCATGGCTGCTGCTTTCTGTTCAGTAGCTCGGCGTGTCCTCTCGCCCGGGCAGGGATATAGAAATTCACTTTTGAATTCTGTGGGAAGTTTTGTTTACTGACAATTTTGACATTTTTTGAATGCTTAAATAGCGACATCTAGCGACTTTTCAGGGTTTCTCTGGTGACTTCCTGCTATGTGGAGTTGGCACATGTGATATTTGCACGTTGCAGTTGTCGCACTGCAAATGGCTTCATGATGCAGCGGCTCCCAGGTATCATGGTGCCTGAAGTTAATCAGATTTTACTGCTACAGGCCCTTGATTTAGCTAAACGTCCGTTTTCAGGACAGCACCCTGGCACATATTTAACTTCGAGCCGGGGGCAACTTTCAATGGAGTCAATGGGCCCCAGGCCTGCCCTACACTCAGATGTAACTATTTTGGCCGTGACCCTGTCATTCCAGACACCAAATATTCCCCACATGGCTCCCAAATCAACATAGTGCCAAGGACTCCAGCTGAGGGGCTGGCCCATGGGTCCCACTGGCTCCTGGGTAGCACTGAAAGCTCCATTAGTATGGGTACCTTCTCTCCCAATTTATCAGCTTCTCACATTGTGTGCCGACCAACCCTTCCATCCCATCTCAGCCTGTATATCCTCAGGGATTCTCATCCATTGCATGGCAGGTGCTATAATCCACAGCCTGGGTTGGCTTCCTCCTCCTTGAACTCAGAGACCATTTTGAGAACACAGGTTGAAACCTCTCTAGGCCACAGCTCCACCTCTGTGAGTGGGGATAACAATACCTGCTCCCTTCCTTCTGAGGAGTCCGGTGCCTCCGCTCTGTGAAGAGCAGAGAATAACTAAGACCGCTCAGGGGAAAAGAGGAGCTAGAAGGTCCTCAGTGCTAATACAAGTGTGATCCTCTAAGCAGAGGGGTCATTTTTAGGGAGTCATTTCTGGCCCACAGATGCCTGAAACGTTTGAAAGAGAGACCAGAGTCCAATTCTGATCCAGTTCAGGGGACTCCAAGTGAGTAGCTAATTTAGCAAGGCAACCCAGGCTGCCCGAATTGAGCTGAGGCATGAATGATGCCTGTGTGTGTGTGTGTGTGTGTGTGTGTGTGTGTGCGCGCGCGCGCGCGTGCTGAGGTGCGAATGATGCCTGGTGTGTGTGTGTGTGTGTGAACCTCATGAGAGATAGTGACACCAGCCTTCATGCTTCCTCTTTTTAAACAGCTGAATTGGAGAGCACATGTCTTCTGAACCTGTGAGGTCTCCCAGGCTGGAAGAGGAGAGGTGGGAGGAGATTTGTGGGATTTGAGGAGAGCTATGAGAAGCAATGGGGTAAAGGAGTGGGATTGGGTGCCTTGAGGCATCTGGCCCCAGGGGTGGCGTCTTACCCATCTCACAATGTTGCTCATTGTCTCCCAGCAGAGCATGAGACAGCGGGACCAATGCCCCCAGGGAACCGCACAGTGGTGACAGAGTTTGTATTCCTGGCCTTTCCCACCCGTCCGGATCTTCAGACCCTGCTCTTCATGGGAGTCATCCTGGTCTTCACAGCCACTGTGACAGGGAACCTGATCATCCTGGTGGCGATCCGGGGGGATGCCCGTCTGCACACCCCCATGTACTTCTTCCTGGAGGCCCTGTCCATCATCGAGCTTGGCTACACTGCAGCCATCTTCCCGCAGATGCTGGTGAATGCCCTGCAGGAGAGGAAGAGAATCAGCTTTGGGGGCTGTGGGGCCCAGATGTTCTTCTTCCTTGGTCTGGGAAGCTCAGATTGCTTCCTGCTGGTGGCCATGGCCTATGACCGGTACGTGGCCATCTGCCACCCACTGCACTACACACTCATTATGACGCGGCGGCTCTGCCTGTGGCTGGTGGCCGCTTCGCTGGCCCTTGGAGGACTGCTTTCTCTGCAGATCACAGTGCTGATCTTCCGCCTCCCCTTTTATGGCTCCAGTGGGGTCAACCATTTCCTCTGTGACGTCAACCAGGTGCTGAAGCTGGCCAGGACCGACACCCACTCCGAGGAGATCGCCCAGTTCATTGCCAGTGTCCTGATAGTCATTCTCCCCTTCCTCCTGATCTGTGTCTCCTACGTCTACATTATCACCACCATCCTGCGCATCCGCTCGGCTGAGGGCCGGCGCCATGCCTTCCACACCTGCTCCTCCCACCTCATGGTGGTGCTGCTGCAGTACGGCTGTCTCAGCTTGGTCTACTTGCACCCGAAGGGCAGCTGGTCGGATGAACTGGACCGGTTGATCTCACTGGGATACACATTTGGAAGCCCCATCTTCAACCCTTTGATATACAGCCTGAGAAACAAGGAGCTCAAGGAGGCCATTGCAAAAGTCTTCAGGAGACGAACAGGGTAACAGCTTTGCAGAGGATACAGGTCAGCGTGGGAAATGACATCTTGGATCTCCCACCGTGAGTAGCTGCCTTTAGTCCACCTCACTGAGTATCCTGCCTCCTGCAGACCAGTAGCCCAGCCCACTTCCTGCTTCATTGGACCAGGTTAACGATCCATCCAGTCTGGGATCTGGACAGATGCTTCAGAGGAAAGCAAAAATCAATCCAAGCTACAGAATAATGCATCTGGACTCATCTAGATTTGTGTACTGTAGGTGACAGGGTGGGATTTTTTTCTCAGCCCCATAGGCTAACTCATTTCTGCTGTGGAAAATACAAATTGGAACCCTTTGAATTTTCATCCTGGCTGGATTCACAGCAGATGCTAGTCGTAAGATTCTGCTGACGCTTAACTAAGTTACTTCACTGTGTTAGGTGGATTCTCTCTGAGAGAGACTTGGATGTCTCCAGTGAAAATTCTTTTAGCATGCAGAGCTTCAAGATTCTTGTGTAAGCAGGGTCTGAATGAATTCTCCCCTGACAGCTAACTGGGAGGGGGAGAGACTTCAGGAGCAAACTGTATTTAAATGAACATACCTACTCTGCTCAGATATCCGGAAGATAGAGCAGTGTTGCTCAAAGTAATCAACTTTGGCTGGTGGTGGGTTACAAATCACTTTAGTACTGAATGCAGGAATAGTGAATTGCTGTTATCAATATTGTTGTCATTATTGTATGAATAAAGGGGAGCAGAACTGTGCTCAACCTGTCCCAAATGAGGGGGTCACCCTCAGCTGAAAGGACCTTGTTAAGCCAAAACAACGAGGAGTCCTTGTGGCACCTTAGAGACTAACAAATTTATTTGGGCGATAAGCTTTCGTGGTCTAAAACCCACTTCATCAGATGCATGGAGTGAAAAATACAGAAAGCAGTATAAATATTACAGCACATGAAAAGATGGGAGTTGCCTTACCAAGTGGGAGGTCAGTGCTAACGAGGCTAATTCAATTAAGGTGGAAGTGGCCTCTTCTCAAGAGTTGACAAGAAGGGGTGAATTTTAAAGGAGGAAAATTACTTTTGTAGTGCTAACGAGGCCAATGCAATCAAGGTGGACATCACCCATTTCCAACAGGTGACAAGAAGGTGTGAGTATCAGCAGAGGGGGAAATTATTTTTTGTACTGACCCATCCACTCTCAGTCTTTATTCAGGCCTAATTTGATGGTGTCCAGTTTGCAAATTAATTCCAGTTCTGCGGTTTCTTGTTGGAGTCTGTTTTGAAGTTTTTTTTGTTGAAGAATTGCCACTTTTAAGTCTGTTATTGAGTGTCCAGGGAGATTGAAATGTTCTCCTATTGGTTTTTGGATGTTACAATTCTTGATGTCTGATTTGTGTCCATTTATTCTTTTGCGTAGAGACTGTCCGGTTTGGCCAATGTACATGGCAGAGGAGCATGGCTGGCACATGATGGCATATATCAACATATATATAACTTCAGGTGCTCAGATGGTGGAGCAAGCAAGGTGCCTTCTTCCCCAGGTGGGAAGAGAACTCACACAGATGCACCTCTGACCCCTGGGTCCTCACTGACCAAGGACAACCACTGTGAGCGGGGTATGGTGAGGGAGCAGAGCGGGGTGCAGTAAAGGAACTTTTGGTTGTAGAACTCACAAACATGAGGCAGAAGACACTGCCCCACACACTCTGGAGTGGGTGTCCTGCTCACGGCTTTATGATTATGAATGGCATTTTCCCTAATTAATGTCGGGTGACTTCTCTCCTTTCATTAAAAGTTTCTTTTCTATACTCAGACTCTGTGCTTGCAAGTGGGGAAGTATTGCTTCTCAGAGACGCCCAGTAGTGGTGTGTAATTTTCCCAGGTTACTGGGTGGGGGCTTGTAACGATGCTGCCTTTGGTGGGACACTGCTGAGAGTACCAATTCAAGACAAATTGTTTAGAACAGGGCAGTTACAGCCCAAGGCAGGGTTCCTTTTTCACACCAAGGCAAACCAAACCAGCCAAACAGAGAAGATTTCAGTTTTACCCCACTGGCTAACCATAAGTCATACAAGCAATTCCCGTAGACACTCCAGTTTCCCAGTATTACCACCAGTGCCACTCGTTATGGGGACAAACGGTTATGAAAACCAATACACCAGTAAAAGAAAAAAGGGTTCTCCCAATCCCAAAGGGCCAAGCCCCAGACCCAGGTCAATATACAAATCAGATCTTACCCACAAATCACACGTTGCCAATCCTTTAGAATCTAAAAGTTTATTCATAAAAAGAAAGAAATATAAAGGAGAGTTAGAATTGGTTACATGGAATCAGTTACATACAGTAATGGCAAAGTTCTTGGTTCAGGCTTGTGGCAGTGATGGAATAAATTGCAGGTTCAAATCAAGTCTCTGGAACATCCCCCGCTGGGATGGGTCATCAGCCCTTTGTTTAGAGCTTCTGTTTGTAGCAAAGTTCCTCCCGAGGCAAGAAGCAGGATCGAAGACAAGATGGAGGGGTTTTCAGGGCCTTTTATATCCTCTGCCCGTGGAAGGTCACAGCAGCAAGATGGAGTTTGGAGACACATGGGCAAGTCACATGTCCATGCATGACTCCGTTCTTTACAGGCTGACACCATTGTTTACATGTTAGTTTGAACGTTCCCAGGAAAGCTCAGATGTGGATTGGCGTCTCCCAAACTCCATTGTCAGTTGAGTGTTTCTTGATTGGGCATTTACTGAGAATAGTCCTTTCTCAAGAAGCTGACCAAATGCTTCACTGAGGCTACTTAGAATCAAACCACATTGAAATGCCAGGACATAGCCAATATTCATAACTTAAACTACAAAAATGATACACACATACAGATAGTGTAATCATAACCAGCAAATCATAACCTTTCCATAAACACCTTACATGACAACCTTTGTACAGTATTTGCGGCAAATATATAACAGCGGTTGCAACAATGATCGATACGATCACAGGTTATGTCAGTAACGTCACAGGGCTCGAGCCAGTTCTGTGCTGTATTGTTGAAAAGGAACCCCTAGCTATTGAACCCGGCCCTGATTGCTGCTGGCTCCACCTGGCAGAAGGGTTCCATTTTGGGGGGGCTCATCAGGGCTACTGGGTCAGTGCCCCTCGCAAACACTCCTGAGTGATCCACTAAGTTGGGGAAACAATCGTGCTTATATTTTGGGGAAATCACTGTTTGTATAATTGCTAATGTGTCAGGTTTGTTGGGCCATGACTCAGCAGCCCCTAGCTCGGAGGCTGCAGCCTTGGCCAATGATTGGGCAAAAGCCCTGGGGCAAACATTGGAAAAGGTTGTGTTGTCCCATGCTACATCAAGCTCCTACCGTAAGTTAAGGTTACTTGCTGGGGGTCCCATTCCCCAAACCTGAAGAAGAGGAGTTTGAAGCCTGGTTGGAACATACCACTGAAATGCTGCAGGAGTGGGCCGTACCAGATGCAGGAAAGCGAAGATGTCTAGTAGAGAGCCTCAGGGGCCCAGCATTAGACGTGATTTGCACCCTGAAGCTCACTAACCCTGGGATTGGGGGGAAGGATTCCCTAGAGGCCCTCGATCACACCTTTGGGAGCATAGAGGGCTCCGAGGACAGTTATTGTAAGTTCCTTAATTCCCGACAGCGAAGGGGCGAGAAGGTTTCAGCCTATATGCGGAGGCTGGAGAGGCAGCTTCAGAGAGCTGTCCAGAGGGGAGCAGTGACTTCTGAGCAGATGGATCCAACCAGACTGGCTCCAATTGTAAGAGGAACTCCATGTCAGAACCTGATTCTATTTCATCTCCGGTTAAGAGAACGACAGGAACACCCCCCAAGTTACTCCCGGCTGATAAAAGAGGTCAGAGAGGAGGAAGAAAGGCAGGCTGCCAATGAGTTTTGGGAAGCCCAAACATCTGAGCCAGCCAGCACAGCATCCCTATGAACAGGCAGTGTACTGGTGGTGAGCACCAGAGAGGAACTGGCCCAACAAATGCAGGTCCTGACAGAACAGATAGCTGGGCTGCAAAGCACCATTGACCGAGTTAAGACTTCCAGGCATAAGGAGCCTCTGGCTGTGGTGATGGAGAAGTCAGCATTTAGAGCCACCATCCCACCTGGGCGAAGGGGGAAAGGACAATTCTTCTGCTACCACTGTGGTCAGGATGGACACAGTGCTGCCAAGTGCCATAATGAAGACAATCCCTCCTTAGTGTTTGGAAAGCTGAGGATCAGTGGGGAGGGGTTGAGGAACTGCCGAAGGGTCTGGAGACAGGGGCTACCCAGATCCAAAGGACTTGAAGGCTCCCCTAGAAGAGACTGTCCAGCTGGGATCCCCTCAGGACTGATAGGGCCTTGAGCAGAGGTCACGGTGAGGATTCAAGGGGCGGAATGTAAAGCCGTGCTTGACACTGGATCTCAAGTGACTATTATATTTCACTCATTCTACCAACAGATGCTAAGGTTCCGGCGGTGATTTAAAGGGCCTGGAGCTCGGGCAGCGCTTTAAAGGGCCCGGGGCTCCCTGCAGGGGCCGGAGCTCCGGGCCCTTTAAATCCCCACCTGAGCCCGGCTGCCGGAGCTCTGGCGGTGATTTAAAGGGCCTGGGGCTCCCCGCAGTGGCTGGAGCCCTGAGCCCTTTAAATCACCGCTGGAGAAGCCGGTCCAGTCCGGCACGGCGTATTGACTCTTGCTGGTACGCTGTACCGGACCGGACTGGCTTACTTTCACCTCTGCTCCAAAGAAGACACAAGAGAAACGCAGACATCAGAGTTCATGGTTACAGCCGGGTGACATTTTTCAAATTAAACCTTTTTTTGTGAAATATGCAGATTCCTCAACACCAGAACGGTTCATGAATTCTTGATCATTTGGCCAAACTGTTCGTTTTGGGGTGGATGGGTGTGGGAAAGGGAATGGGAAAAATTGAACTGTTTCGATTTTTCATTTTGAAATTACTTTTCATGTAAAAAATTCCTTTACTTTTTTTTTTTTAAATTCCAACCCATTTTTAAATGTTC